ACCCGCTCCTCAAAGTCCCACACCCGCTCCTCAAAGTCCCACTCAAGTCCACACCCGCTCCTCAGAGTCCCACACCCTCCTCAAAGTCCCAACCCGCTCCTCAGAGTCCCACACCCGCTCCTCAGAGTCCCACACCCCTCAGAGTCCTCCTCAGAGTCCCACACCCGCTCCTCAGAGTCCCACACCCGCTCCTCAAAGTCCCACACCCGCTCTTAAAGAAGAGACCTGGTTTAGTCCTGTTTTAGTCCTGTTTTAGTCCTGTTTTAGTCCTGGTTCTGTCCTGGTTCTGTCCTGGTTCAGTCTTGGTTTAGCCCTGGTTTAGTCCTGGTTTAGTCCTGGTTTAGTCCTGGTTTAGTCCTGGTTTAGTCTTGTTTTAGTCTTGGTTTAGTCCTGGTTTAGTCCTGGTTCATTCCTGGTTTAGTCCTGGTTCAGTCCTGGTTTAGTCCTGGTTCAGTCCTGGTTCTGTCCTGGTTCAGTCTTGTTTTAGTCTTGGTTTAGTCCTGGTTCAGTCCTGGTTTAGTCCTGGTTTAGTCCTGGTTTAGCCCTGGTTTAGTCCTGCTTTAGTCCTGTTTTAGTCCTGGTTAAGTCTTGTTTTAGTCCTGGTTTAGTCTTGTTTTAGTCTTGGTTTAGTCCTGGTTTAGTCCTGGTTCAGTCCTGGTTTAGTCTGGTTTAGTCCTGGTTCAGTCCTGGTTTAGTCCTGGTTCTGTCCTGGTTCAGTCCTGGTTTAGTCCTGGTTTAGCCCTGGTTTAGTCTTGTTTTAGTCCTGGTTTGGTCTTGTTTTAGTCCTGGTTTAGTCTTGTTTTAGTCCTGGTTTAGTCTTCTTTTTAGTCTTGGTTTAGTCTGGTTTAGTCCTGGTTCCCCTGGTTTAGTGGTTCAGTCTGGTTCAGTCCTGGTTTAGTCTGGTTTAGTCCTGGTTTAGTCCTGGTTTAAGTCCTGGTTTAGTCCTGGTTTCAGTCCTGGTTCAGTCCTGGTTCAGTCCTGGTTTTGGTCTGTAGTATTTTTTCGTTCGTTCGTGTTCAGACCAAAACAAAGACTCGTGGGTGTTTTGGGGGGGGGGGGGGGGGGGGGGGGCGGGGGGGGGGGGGGGGGGGGGGGGGATTTTTCCATCTCTCACCCGAGAGAGAGAGAGAGAGGGGGGGATGGAGGGAGCGGGCGAGCGATGGAGCAGACATTCCCAGACTTTGTGTGTGGCGTTACCGTGGCAACAGGCTGCAAGATCATCCACCACGGAGAGAGAGAGAAAGAGAGAGAGAGAAGAGAGAGAGAGAAAGAGAGAGGGAGAAAGAGAGAGGGGAGGGGGAGAGAGAGAGAAAGAGAGGGAGGGAGAGAGTTAGAGGTGAGAGAGAGAGAGAGAGAGATGGGAGAGAGGAGACAGACAGATAGAAGGAGAGAAGGAAATAGCAATAGGTGAGAGAGAAGGAGAGAAAGAGAGATGGGGAGAGAGAGAGAGAGAGAAAAGGAGGAGGGAGGGGAGGAGAGAGAAGAAGTTAAGGATGAGGGGGGGAGAGAGAGAGATAAGGGAGAGCGAGAAGAAGGGAAGGATGAGGGAGGGAAAGAGAAAGAGAGAAGGAGGGAAAGAGGAGGGAGAGAAAAAGAGAAGGAGGGAAGGAGAGATAGGGGAGAGGGAGAGAGAGAGAAGGGAGGGAGGAAGGGGGGATGGAGAGAGATAGAAGAGAGTGAGAGAAGGAGAGACTGAGCAGGAGGAGAGAGAGAGAGAGAGAGCAGACACACGGAGCGAGAGAGCGAGTGCGAGGAGGAGGAGAGAAAGGAGAGAGAGAGAGAGAGCGTTGTGTCTGAGCAGCACACGGCGGCGGCGACAGCGGCGGCGGTCGGTCGGTCGGTGAGGAGATGGACCCCTCCGCGCTCGCCTCTCCTCCGCTCTGACGCCATGGAGACGAGGAATCCCGCTCTCCCCGGCGTTTCCGCGATCGGAGATGAACAGACGCGTTTGGGCAGCGAGGAAGAGGAGGCACGATGAGCGAGGTGAGGAACGAGGACGGAGGAAGGAGGACGGAGGACGGAGACGGCGAGGGGACGGCGAGGGGACGGCGAGGGGACGGCGAGGACGGACGGCGAGGGACGGCGAGGGGACGGCGAGGGGACGGCGAGGGGACGGGGACGGCGGCGAGGGGACGGCGAGGGGACGGCGAGGGGACGGCGGATGAGTCATTTTGGTCGTGGATTCGCGGTTCGGCTCCGGGGAAACGCGGGATCTGTCACCGGGCGAGTTACAAGTGCTAAAAAAAAAAAAAAAAAAAAAAAGCGGAGCGGATTTTCCTCGTGACGAGAAGGTTCCCGGTTCGATTCCCGGAGCGTGCGGCGTTTGCGTGTTTCTTCCCCCGTGTCTGGAGACGCTTCGATTCCAGGATTTTGTTTAAACCATCGAGCGACGAGATATTTTAGTCCTGGTTTAGTCCTGGTTCAGTCCTGGTTCCTAGTTTAGTCCTGGTTCAGTCCTAGTTTAGTCCTAGTTCAGTTCTGGTTTAGCTCTGGTTTAATCCTGGTTTAGTCTTGGTTTAGACTGGTTTAGTCCTGGTTTAGTCTTGGTTTAGTCTTGGTTTAGTCTTGGTTTAGACCTGGTTTAGTCCTGGTTTAGTCCTGGTTTAGTCTTGGTTTAGACCTGGTTTAGACCTGGTTGAGTCCTGGTTTAGTTCTGGTTTTTAATCCTGGCTTAGACCTGGTTTACTCCTGGTTCTGTCCTGGTTTAGTCCCAGGTCCATCATGGTCCAGGTCTTACTCTCTGGTCTCTGTGAGGTCGGGTCCAGGTCGGGTCCAGGTCGGGTCCAGGTCGGGTCCAGGTCTGACTCTGTGGTCTCTGTGAGGTTGGGTCCAGGTTGGGTCCAGGTCGGGTCCAGGTCGGGTCCAGGTCTGACTCTGTGGTCTCTGTGAGGTCGGGTCCAGGTCGGGTCCGGGTCGGGTCCAGGTCGGGTCCAGGTCTGACTCTGGTCTGTCTGGTCTCTGTGAGGTCGGGTCCAGGTCGGGTCCGGGTCGGGTCCAGGTCTGACTCTGGTCTCTCTGGTCTCTGTGAGGTCGGGTCCAGGTCGGGTCCAGGTCGGGTCCAGGTCGGGTCCGGGTCCGGGTCTGACTCTGGTCTCTCTGGTCTCTGTGAGGTTGGGTCCAGGTCGGGTCCAGGTCGGGTCCAGGTCGGGTCCAGGTCGGGTCCAGGTCGGGTCCGGGTCGGGTCCGGGTCTGACTCTGTGGTCTCTCTGGTCTCTGTGAGGTCAGGTCCAGGTCAGGTCCAGGTCTGACTCTGGTCACTCTGGTCTCTCTGGTCTTTAGATAAGCAGCATGATGTGGAGATCCTGGCTCCGCCCCCGAAGGAGAAGGAGAAACGTCCCATGTCCCAGATCAGTGGAGTGAAGAAGCCCACGTCCAGTCCAAGTCTGGTCCCGTCCTGCTCCATCCCGAGGTTCGGAGTCACCACCCCCCACGAGACCCTGCTGTCCCAGGTAAGACCCCCCCCCCCACGAGACCCTGCTGTCCCAGGTAACCCCCCCCCCCCCCCCCCCACGAGACCCTGCTGTCCCAGGTAAGACCCCCCCCCCCCCCACGAGACCCCGCTGTCCCAGGTAAGACCCCCCCCCCCACGAGACCCTGCTGTCCCAGGTAAGACCCCCCCCCCCCCCCACGAGACCCCGCTGTCCCAGGTAAGACCCCCCCCCCACGAGACCCCGCTGTCCCAGGTAAGACCCCCCCCCCACGAGACCCTGCTGTCCCAGGTAAGACCCCCCCCCCCCCACGAGACCCCGCTGTCCCAGGTAAGACCCCCCCCCCCCCCCCCCCCCCCCCACGAGACCCCGCTGTCCCAGGTAACACCCCCCCCCCCGAGACCCTGCTGTCCCAGGTAAGACCCCCCCCCCACGAGACCCTGCTGTCCCAGGTAAGACACCCCCCCCACGAGACCCCGCTGTCCCAGGTAAGACCCCCCCCCACGAGACCCCGCTGTCCCAGGTAAGACACCCCCCCCACGAGACCCCGCTGTCCCAGGTAAGACCCCCCCCCCCACGAGACCCCCGCTGTCCCAGGTAACCCCCCCCCCACACGAGACCCCGCTGTCCCAGGTAAGACCCCCCCCCCCACGAGACCCCGCTGTCCCAGGTAAGACACCCCCCCCCCACGAGACCCTGCTGTCCCAGGTAAGACCCCCCCCCCACGAGACCCTGCTGAACCCCCCCCCCCCAGTCGTTCAGGAAAACTACCGGACAAACGTTTACTTGGTCCAACACGTTTCTCAAATCGTCCAAGCTGCTTCTTCAGTTCTGGTCAGACGCTGGTGGACACTTGATTGATTGATTGATTGATTGATTGATCATTTATACAGCACCTTTCAAGATCTACAAAGTGCTTTACAGTTCATTCTTCAGTCACTCCACACTCAGTGGTGTAAACTACTACTGTAGCCACAGCTGCCCTGGGGCAGACTGACGGAAGCGAGGCTGCCAATCTGCGCCATCGGCCCCTCCCACCACCACCATCACTCACACTCACACCACTTTCATACTGGGCAATGTGGGTGAAGTGTCTTGCCTAAGGACACAACGACAGTTTTTTGCCACTGGCATCCCACTTCCTTATATCTGTCTGCAGGGAGGAGCTAACTACACTGAAACTACACTGAAACTACACTGAAACTACTCTGGAACTAACACACACTTGTTTACAGTTTGTGTTTGTTATTAGGCTTGTCCCTACTGTCGGTGTATCCAGGTCAGGACCAGAGGCGTGAAAGCTCCATTTTGGCCATGAATGATTCTGCTGACCCCACACTCAAACACAAACTGTAAACAAGTGTGTGTGTTAGTTCCAGAGTAGTTTCAGTGTAGTTTCAGTGTAGTTAGCTCCTCCTGTAGACAGATATAAGGAAGTGTCCACCAGCGTCTGACCAGAGCTGAAGAAGCAGCTTGGATGAGCTGAGAAACGGTTTCGACCAAATAAATTTTTGTCCAGTTGACAAATCGAATTTGTCCTTTTGCCTTTCCGCATGCTTGTTACTGCAGCAACTCAGGTCACCTCAGGTCACCTCTTGTCACCTCTGGTCACCTCTGGTCACTTTGGTGGAACTGAGGCTTTGATAAACCTGGACTGACCAAATAAGTCAGACTTTCACTTTGACTCGCTTCATGGAAAACCACCGTGTCGTGACCTGACTCACCTCTGACCTTTTCTGTTTCAGGAGATCGAGGACATAAACCGCTGGGGTCTGGACATTTTTAAAATCGCAGAGTTTTCCGGAAACCGCCCCCTCACGGTCGTCATGTACTCCATCTTCCAGGTACGGACGGCTCCATGTCCGAGCACCGAGCGGGAACTTTTGTCCACCACATCTGAGGATTTGGCGTCGTAGTCTCAGATGGTCTGTGGAACATTCACTGTTCTTTCGTCTCCAGGAGCGTGATCTTCTGAAGACCTTCCAGATTCCCACAGACACGTTCCTGACCTTCATGATGACCCTGGAGGACCATTACCACAGCGACGTCGCCTACCACAACAACATCCACGCGGCAGACGTGGTCCAGTCCACGCACGTGCTGCTCTCCACGCCCGCTCTGCAGGTGAGAACATCTGCACACACAAGGAACCACAAGAACCCACAAGAACCAGGCACACACAGAAGAACCACACACAACAACCATGAACATAAGAACGAAAAGAACATCTACAGACACAAGGAACCACAAGAACCAGGCACACACAGAAGAACCATGAACATAAGATCCACAAGAACATCTACAGACACAAGGAACCACAAGAACCCAAAGGAACCAGGCTCACACAGAAGAACCATACACAAGAAGAACCACAAACGTAAGAACCACAAGAACATCTACAGACACAAGGAACCACAAGAACCAGGCACATAGAAGAACCACACATGAGAGCCATGAACATAAGAACTAAAAGAACATCTACAGACACAAGGAACCACAAGAACCAGGCACATAGAAGAACCACACATGAGAGCCATGAACATAAGAACTAAAAGAACATCTACAGACACAAGGAACCACAAGAACCAGGCTCACACAGAAGAACCGCAGACAAGAACCATGAACATAAGAACCACAAAAACATCTACAGATACAAGAACCCACAAGGAACCAGGCGCACACAGAAGTTCAGCAGCAGCTCATGAAAGTTCTCGTGTGTCTTGTGCTTCAGGCCGTGTTCACAGACCTGGAGATCATGGCCGTGCTCTTCGCCAGCGCCATCCACGACGTCGACCACCCAGGAGTCACCAACCAGTTCCTCATCAACACCAGTCAGTCCATCTTCTCTCCTGGTTCCTCTGTCTTCTCCTCTGCTCCTCCGTTTCCTTCTCTGTCTCCTTCTTCTGTCTCTCTGTTTCTTCTCTGTTTCCTTCTCTGTCTCCTTCTTCTGTCTCCTTCTCTGTTTCCTTCTCTGTCTCCTTCTCTGTTTCCTTCTCTGTTCCTTCTGTCTCCTTCTCCGTTTCCTTCTCTGTCTCCTTCTTCTGTCTCCTTCTCCGTTTCCTTCTCTGTCTCCTTCTCTGTTTCCTTCTCTGTCTCCTTCTCTGTTTCCTTCTCTGTCTCCTTCTCTGTCTCCTTCTCCTGTCCTTCTCCGTTTCTTCTCCGTTTCTCCTGTTTCCTTCTCTGTTTCTTCTCTGTTTCCTTCTCTGTTTCTTCTCTGTTCCTTCTCTTCTGTTCCTTCTCCGTTTCTTCTCTGTCTCCTTCTTCTGTCTTCTTCTCTTTCTCGTTTCCTCTTCTCTGTTTCCTTCTCTGTCTCCTTCTCTGTTTCCTTCTCTGTCTCCTTCTCTGTTTCCTTCTCTGTTTCCTTCTCCGTTTCCTTCTCTGTCTCCTTCTCTGTTTCCTTCTCTGTCTCCTTCTCTGTTTCCTTCTCTGTCTCCTTCTCTGTTTCCTTCTCTGTTCCTTCTCTGTTTCCTTCTGTTTCCTTCTCTGTCTCTTCCTTCTCTGTTTCCTTCTCTGTCTCCTTCTCTGTCTCCTTCTCTGTTTCCTTCTCTGTCTCCTTCTCTGTTTCCTTTTCTGTTTCTTTCTCTGTCTCCTTCTCTGTTTCCTTCTCTGTCTCCTTCTCTGTTTCCTTCTCTGCTCCTCTGTCTCCTTGTCTGTCTTCTTCTCTCCTTCTTTGTCTCCTTCTCTGTCTCCTTCTCTCCTTCTCTGCCTCCTTCTCTGTCTCCTCCTATGTCATCTTCTCTGTCTCCTTCTCTGTCTCTGTCTCCTCTCCTTCTCTGTCTCCTCCTCTGTCTCCTTCCTTCCTCCTCTGCCTCCTTCTCTGCTTCTCTGTCTCCTCTCCTTCTCTGTCTTCTCTGTCTCCTCTCCTTCTCTGTCTCCTTCTCTGTCTCTGTCTCCTCTCCTTCTCTGTCTCCTTCTCTGCTTCTCTGTCTCCTCTCCTCCTCTGTCCCCTTCTCTCCTTCTCTGTCTCCTCTCCTTCTCTGTCTCCTCCTCCGTCTCCTTCTTTCCTCCTCTGCCTCCTTCTCTGCTTCTCTGTCTCCTCTCCTTCTCTGTCTCCTCCTCCGTCTCCTTCTTTCCTCCTCTGCCTCCTTCTCTGTCTCCTCTCCTTCTCTGTCTCCTTCTCTGTCTCCTCCTCTGTCTCCTCCTCTATCTCCTCATCTGTCTCCTCGTCTCCTTCTCTGTCTCCTCCTCTCCTCTTCTGCTCCTCTCCTCTGTTCCTCTTCTTCTCAGCTCTTCTGTCTCTTTTGCTCTTCTCCTTCTCTGTTTCCTCCTCTCCTCCTCTGCTCCTCTCTTCCTCTCCTGCATCTGTTTACGTTCTTTAGTTTAGTTGATTCTTCTGTATCTGAGCGTGTCGTTTGTCTTGGTGCTGCGTGCAGGTTCGGAGCTCGCCCTCATGTACAACGACGCCTCCGTGCTGGAGAACCATCATCTGGCCGTGGGCTTCAAACTTCTGCAGGAGGACAACTGCAACATCTTCCAGAACCTGAGCAAGAAGCAGAAGGACTCGCTGCGTAAGATGGTCATCGACATGGTGAGCAGCTCCATTGTGATCGGGTTTTTTGAATATCCAGGTTTCGTCATGGTGCATGTAGATACAATTTTCTCCTGGTTTTAGTGTCCTGAATAAGCCAGTGTCCCGGTTATGAGAAACCGGGATATTGTAGCTGAGATATTCCGATAGTAACTGGGATACTGTTCATGTATACGCAGTATCCCGAATATAAAGATCTGCGTTGAACCTGCACACGTATAATCTGCACTCGTATGACCTGCATACGTATGAAAAGTTTAACATGAACCAGAACAGAACAGACTCATCATCATCATCAGCACATCCTCTGTCACAGAGAGAACACTCATATTCCACTGAGTCACTGTGTCCTTTAGTCCGACAGAAGCTGAACCACATCAGCGACACAAGGAAAGAACTGTTTTAATTAGCGCTTATAGTTTATGCAAATGAGTCATGTGGTTTTAAGTTTAGTTTGTGTAAAACGTAAACAAATGTGTCAAAGCTGAATTAAAAACATTATAATGTCAAACGGGCTGATGTGGCTCTAGAGTCGTTCTGGTTTAGATGTTGTAAAGTTGAGTTTATTTATGCAGAAGTTTTAAATAAAAAATCTGCTGCAGTGTTGAACTTGTACAATGTTTGGAATCGTTGGGTTTGATCTGTGCAGTGGATTGTGGGATATCTCCTTGCTCCTTACTGCTGGTTAGGAACCTACCAAGCTTCTAAAGGAGCTCATGGGTGTTAAATTAATTAATGAATTAAATTAAATTAAATAAAGTTATTTTTTGTACTTGTGCATTTGAGACCGGGACACTCCATTTGTTCATGTGCACGGGGAGATGAGTGTCCCGGTTTCTCTCTGTGCATGTAAACACAGTAACACGAATACTGACAGAACCAGGATGTGGATAATAACCGCGATACTGATGTGCTGTGAACACACTCACTGTTTGATATTGCTCTAGGACTTTTACCACTGAAAGGATAATTCAGATATTTCAGTCTGAATTGTTAGTTCCAGTTTCACTTTGACTTCACTAATGAGAAAGAAACAATGAAGAATTACATAATTACACACATAACATGGTCAAAACTAAACTGCTATATAGGGATGCACTGATTATACTCGAATGTGTATCGGTAAAAAAAAAAAAAAAAGGTATCGGTGCATCCCTACCACTTAAGCCAGTGTCTCTGTATTTTCTGTCCGTTCCTTCTCTGACCTGAGCGTGTGTCCAGGTGCTGGCCACTGACATGTCCAAACACATGAACTTTCTGGCCGACATGAAGACGATGGTGGAGACGAAGAAGGTGACGAGTCTGGGAGTTCTGCTCCTGGACAACTACTCCGACCGGATACAGGTACTGAGACCGAGAGGGACGGGAAATCTGGAAAAAAACTGGAGTCAGGGGGAATGAATCTCTTTGTGAAAACTATACAATACTACTAGGCGATGTGAGAAGTGTCTTGCCTAAGGACACAATGACAGAATTTAGTCTGAGCGGGAATCGATCCTCTGACCTTTGGGTTTGGAGAACACCTGAAAGTAGAGACTGTCTTATTTATGCACTTTAAATGGATCAAGATTTAGTCTGGATTTTTAATATATTATTTTATATTTTTTATTTATTTTATATTATTTATTTAAATTAATTTATTATTTATTTATTTTATTTTAATTAATTAATAAATGTATATTATTTATGTTAAGTTTTTTTTTTTTTTTTACTTTGGCAATTTTTTTTATTTGTATTTTTATTTCAAATGTCAAAATAATGATTTGATTGACATTTAGATATATCAAGCTCATTTATTTTTCTGTTTTGAGGCAAAATTTTCCACTTTTTTATTTAATTTTAATATTTATTTCATTTGTATTTATTTATGTTTTATTTTTTACTTGGGATTTTTTTTTTAATGAGACTAAGTTGATTATTATTTCACTTGTGGATCGTTTTGGCATTAGAAAAGAAAAATATGAACCAGAAATCAAGCTGAAATCAAGTTGAAATCAAGTTGAAATCACAGTGAAAAATCTTGAGAAATCTTAAAGCTCTTTGCTGTTGCCGTGAGAGACAGGATCAGGCTTTTCTCTCCAAAAACATGAGGTCTGTAGAATCACCAGAGTCTCTTTAAACCGAAAAGTGAAACTGAAAGTTGAAATCGAGTTCAAATCAGTCAGATCACAGTGATAAATCTTGATAAATCGTAAAGCCACTGTCACCGAGTCCAGATCCTCCCAGTCTTAAATAAAAGTGTTTATAAATGTTGACGTTGATGTTGGTTGTTGTTGCGTCTGGTCCAGGTTCTGCAGAACATGGTGCACTGTGCCGACCTGAGTAACCCCACCAAACCTCTGGAGCTGTACCGACAGTGGACCGACCGCATCATGGTGGAGTTCTTCACTCAGGGCGACCGCGAGAGGGACAAGGGCATGGAGATCAGCCCCATGTGCGACAAGGACAACGCCTCTGTGGAGAAGAGCCAGGTCAGGACACCAGAACTAACACAAACTAACTCTAACTAACCCAAACTAACTGTGGAGAAGAGCCAGGTCAGGACACCAGAACTAACACAAACTAACACAAAATAACTCTAACTAACCCAAACTAACTGTGGAGAAGAGCCAGGTCAGGACACCAGAACTAAAACAGACTCTCACTAACAACTAACGAACTAACTAACCCACCTCGACTGACACATGTGTGACAAAGACAACGCCTCTGTGGAGAAGAGCCAGGTCAGGACACCAGAACTAACACTAACTAACACAAACTAACTCTAACTAACCCAAACTAACTGTGGAGAAGAGCCAGGTCAGGACACCAGAACTAACACAAACTTTAACTAACAAGTAACGAACTAACTAACCCACCTCGACTGACACATGTGCGACAAGGACAACGCCTCTGTGGAGAAGAGCCAGGTCAGGATACGAAAACTAACCCAAACTAACTGTGGAGAAGAGCCAGGTCAGGACACCAGAACTAACCCAGACTAACTAACTAACCAGTAGTAGTAGTAGTTTATTTGGTCATTTTGCAGCACTACAAAACAAAACAAAACAAAACATAGACTACAACCCCAACTAACCCAGACTAAGTTACTAACCCAAACTAAATGTGGAGTAGAGCAAGAATGTGAACCCTAACTAACTAACTAACTGCGGAGAAGAGCCAGGTCAGGACACCAGAACTAACAAACTAACTCAACTAACTAACCTTTATAAACTAACTTACCCACCACCAACACATGTGTGACAAAGACAACGCGTCTGTGGAGAAGAGTCAAATCACAAACACGAACCAAAACTAAATAACTGTCTAACTCTGACTGTGGACAAGAGCCAGGTTAAAACACAGACCCATCCATCCATGTTCTTCCTCTTATTTGGGGCCGGGTTGTGGGGGCTTCAGTCTAAGCAGAGACTCCCAGACTTCCTTCACCCTGGACACTTCCTTCAGCTCCTTCAGAGGGACCCCGAGGTGTTCCCAGGCCAGTCCAGAGACATCGTCCCTCCAGTGTGTCCTGGGTCCTCCCGATGGGACATGAACACGTCTGTTCTGATGTCTCCTGGGCATCTCTCTCAGGAGACATCAGAACAGACGTCCTCCCCTCAGCCGCTCCTCTCCACGCGGAGGAGCAGCGGCTCTACTCCGAGCTCCTCACTGTATCTCTAAGGGAGACGCCCAGACACCCTGCGGAGGAAACTCACTTGTGACGCTTGTATTGGCGATCTCGTCCTTTCAGTCATTACCCAGAGCTCATGAGTCCTGCCTCAAGTGAAGGAGCTCAAGTATCTCGGGGTCTAAAACATGGACCCAAACAAACTAACTAATTAACTAACCTAGACTAACAAACTAACCTAGACTAACTGTGGAGAAAAGGCAGGTTTGAACACTAACTAACTAACTAACCGTGCAGTAGAGCCGGGTCAGAACACAAGAACAAACACAAATGAACTAACAAACTAATAGAGATGGGACGAGACATGATTTTAGAAGTGATTTAAAGGTTGTATGGAGGATTTTCTTTTTGTTTGTTTCATATTGTCATTGAAAGTTTAAAATACCATTACAGGGACGCAGCAGCCTTGTAATTATGATGACCAAAAAAAAAAAAAAAAACAAAGAATGAAAATCTATCAACTGTGGATGTAATGAGGCCAGATAAACATCAGCCAATAGAAAACGAGGCTCCCTCTTTATCTATTGGTTGTTAGGTTGTCAATCAAACTAGCTACGTTTCTAGTGTAATTGACTCACTGGCGCGCAGGGATTACGTGGTTTATGCGGCGGTTCTTAGAGGCTTTTTCAAACTGTCACTTCCTTGCAATTCGCACAAAGTTTGTTGAGACGGCCGACGAGAATCCACGACCAGTTCGCCGCAAAAGAAAGTCAGTTTTCAGGGTCACTGAAAGAAGAAAAGGGGAAAAGGAGCGAAGACAAACTGAAGTGATTCTTGGAGATTCCTTCCAGCGATGGTGCGAATGAAGCAGACGAAGGGTCTAAAAACTGACGCGTCGGTCGCTAAAATATTTCTAGACAAGTCACTTCAACAGTGATTCTGAACGCGCACTGGATGTAAACAAACATGATTTCTAGAGTAAAGAGGCGGGAGGAGATGTTTCTACTGAGGCTGTGGAGGAGGAAGGTGGTGTCACACAAGCACAACATTTGAAAATGGACTGTCGCTGTATTTCTCTTCCCTTAAAAAATCCTCTATACAACCTTCAAGAACAGGTACAGACTCCGCCCGTCTAATCTCTAATGGAAATGGGTTCGTCAGCCGTGACGCAGCAGCAGAAAATGCATGATCCCCACAAAGCTTTTATGTTTAGTCTTTTTGGGATGGCGAGCTGGAGCTGGTCTGCTGACCCGAGAGTGCGAGACGGGGCGTAAGGGTGAATCAGATCAGCGAGGTAGGAGGGTGCTAGGCCGTGCAAACATTTAAAGTAAATAAAAGAATTTTAAAATTGACTCTAAAGACACTGGGAGCCAATGGAGCGAGGCTGAAACAGATGAGCCTTCGTGTGTCCAGGTTCCAGTTAAAAGTCGAGCCGAGTCAAGTTTTTATCTAAAAACAGTGATTTGTCCCAGTTTTATACAAGAAATGTCCCGAGTGTCACTGTTTTTGACCAATCTGATCCCTGCCAACCATAAAGAGAGGTCAACTGTTGAGGTAAAATACAGAAAATCTGCTTAAAAATGACCAAACACAAAGAAAATGTGACTATGCAGAACAATTTTCCTTAATCACAGACTCGCTTCACAATTTTATTATCACCAACCTCAAACCGAGTGTCCCAGTTTTTGATTTTTAAGTTCTGGTCTTAAATTCTATGTCCATGACGGTGTAGTTTAACCCTCCTCTGTGTCCGTCTCTTCGTCAGGTGGGCTTCATCGACTACATCGTGCACCCGCTGTGGGAGACGTGGGCCGACCTGGTTCACCCGGACGCCCAGGACATTCTGGACACGCTGGAGGACAACAGGGAGTGGTACCAGAGCATGATCCCCCGCAGCCCCTCGCCCACCAGCCCCGAGGAGCACAGCCAGCCCGCCCACGCCAACCAGAACCCCGCCCACGCCAACCAGAACGCCGCCAACGCCAACGCCGCCCACCAGACCACGACCCCGACCCACCCGCACACCCCGTCCGCCGACAAGTTCCAGTTCGAGCTGACGCTGGAGGAGGAGAGCGAGGAGGAGGAGGAGGAGGAGGCGGCGGCGGCGACGTCCGACCCGGAGCAGCAGCAGCAGGAGAGGAGGGGCGGGCGTCACCTGTCGTCCCTGCCGTCCCTGTCGCCGCTGGACCCCCGCGCCTCCAACAGCCGCTACAGGCCGCCGTCGCCGCACCCGGCCCGCAGCCTGGCGTCCATGTCCGTGCGCAGCCCCCGCCCCCCCAGGACGCTCGACTCCCCCGACCACCAGGGGGCCACATAACGAGCCGCGAGGCCTGGCCCGTCGCCGCGGCAACAGCAACGACCCCGCCCACGTTTAAAGTGCATCTGACAGGTTCAAACATCGGGATAATTCTGAGTCGGTTCGGCGGAGAGTCTCTGTCGTCGATATTTATCAGTTTGCAGCAGTTTGTGAAGAAAAGTAGAAAATAAAAAGTACAAAAATATAGAAAGTAGCGCTGAGTTTTAAAACAGAATCGCTCTGTTTATGTCGTCAACAGGAAAACGCCGAAACGTAGAGAGAATTTACGCACAAACAAGGACTTTTTAAACCTTTAAACCACTTTAAACCTTCAACAAAATAAAAGCGATGTCATTTATTTTTATGAGTCTAATCAGAACTATTATGGAATAGACGTTTTTCACAACAATATCAGGTAAACGTAACTTCCGGTTTTGGTTTTCTGTGTCAAACAGTGTAAATGTGTGTTGTTTTCTCCAGCAGCTTCATAAATCTGCCCCATCACCAAATCTTCAACCAACAAACTCCACAAAGGAGAAACATTTTAACACGAACAATTTATCCACAACGATCAAGAGAAGAAAGAACAAAACTTAAAGACGAACAACGACACATTTCCTTTATCATCAATTTTCATCAGATTTTATCGCAATTTCTCCCAATTTGGTCGTGAATTACACCCGACCTTTTCTCCAGCAGCAGTTGACGTCAGATGTGATGTAGAAGTCGTGGAGCAAACGATTCTAGACTAAAATGACTCTGAATCATCCCTTTAAATGTGGTATTGCTGGTCACATCATCCTATAGATCAAAATTAATTAATACAGATGGGGGGCAGCTAAAGTTTATATTGTTAAAATGCAAAAATATGTTTTATTACAGTGAATTCTTTGGTTTTATCAGCAATTTAAAATACCAGGTTCGACATTTGTGAAATTACCTTTTGGATTTGTCATGATAAAGTACAACATGATCAAAAGGGAAAATCTGGAAAACCAAAATCGTCTGAAAAACCACCAATAAAAATAAAAATGACTTGACTTAAGAGTTAAATTTTGATAAAAATGTTAGGGCTGAGGGAACATAGAGCTAACCCCCACAAATCTGTTTATCTACAAAAGTATCGACATCATGAATACGATTTTAAATTTTAATTCTAGAATCAGACTGAGTGAAGAAGTTCCTTCTGTTTTATTCATGATCATAATATTAGTTTTGCAAGTCTCAAGTACAGTAAGTCTCGAGTCTTTGACCTCAAGTCCGAGTCAAGTCCCAAGTCAAAGTCAAGCAAGTCCAAGTCGAGTCTCGAGTCACTGGTCCATAAGTTCAAGTCGAGTCTCGAGTCCGTCTGCTTTGAGCTTCGACTCATTTCAAGTCTTAAAACCAAAGTACCAAATATAGCTTAGATTTCTGCAATTTATATGATTAGAAATTTAATTGTTCTTATATATAAATCTACTGTGATTGTTTTGAGTATTTATAGAGTTTATAAGAGTTGTAGAAATGTAAACTTTTCCTTTTTACTTGTCTTGACAAGATCTTAGTGTGAATCTTTACAGTCAGAACAGAAAGAATTCAGATTTAAAAGAGCTTCTCAAGTCACTGATCTTCAAGTCCAAGTCGAGTCCCAAGTCTTAGTCCATTTTATCAACTCAAGTCTCAAGTCCTAAAAATAGAGACTCGAGTCTGACTTGAGTCCAGGTCACGACTTGTAAGTCTCACCTCTGGCTCGTCGTTGTTTCCTTTAAGTTTTGTTCTTTCTTCTCTTGATCTTTGTGGATAAATTGTTCATAAAGAATGTTTATCGTTTGTGGAGTTTGTTGGTTGAAGATTTGGTGATGAGGCAGATTTATGAAGCACATTTTGACACAGAAAAAAAATAGCCGGACATTACGTTTACCCGACAGTCTTGAAAAACGTCTATTTAGTCACGTTTTTGTCTTTGTTTACATTGTCGTTTCTAGAATTTAATAGTTTAAACTGTCAAACGCACTTTAAATGAATCGAGTTTAGATTTTTTGGTCTGGATTTTTTTTATTTTTTTTATATTATATGATTTTTTTTTTTTAACTTCGCCAATATTTTTTAATTTTATTTTTCAAACGTCAAAATAATCTGACAACGAATGAATGTAGATTTAACCCGAGTTCAAGTGCAATAACGTGCGATTTCGTTGGCGTTTCAGGCTCGTTTATTTTCCTGTTTCGGGGCAAAAATAGTCCACCGTTTTTGTTATATTTTAATATTTATTTCATTTGTATTTATTTATGTTTTATTTTTTGCTCTGGGGGGGAAATAAATAAATGAGATAAATTCCGTTATTATTTCCGTTGTGGATCGTTTTGCCTCAGAAAAAGAAAAATACGAGCGTGAAATCGAGTTGAAATCGCAGTGAAAAATCTCGAGAAATCATAAAGCTCTTTGCTGTTGCCGCGGGAGACGGGATCAGGCTTTTTTTTTTTTATCCCAAAAACATGAAGTCTGTAGAATCACCAGAGTCCCTTTAAACTGGAGACACCCTTCTATAGACGTACAGCACCCGCGGGAGACGACGCACCCGCGGGAGACTGGATCAGGGAGCACCCATGGGACAAATCCAGCCCTGGGGAGTTCCCGTGGGAGACTGGACCGACCGTTCCCGTGGGAAAGACCCAACGCAGGACCCTGGAGCGCCCGCGGGAAAGACCGGAGCGCCCGCGGGAAACACCGGCGCGCCTGCGGGAACGACCGGACGCAGGATCCAGGAGCACCCACGGGAACGACCCGGAGCACCCGCGGGAACGACCCGGAGCACCCGCGGGAGACTCCTCTGTAGCTGCCCCACGCACACGGCTGTGATCGTCTCAAACTGCAGTAAAGGAAAAGTCTTCCTCCGAGTTTATTTCTACGCGACGACGGGAAAGATTTGGAATTACGAACCTTTTTTTTTTTTTTTTTTTTTTTTTTTGGATTTTGGATTTATTGTTTTGGAAATGATTTGGAGTTTTGGAGTTTCTCATCGTCAGACCAGAGCGTTTTACACTTTGAACTTTTGTCACTTGTCGATGACTTCAAGTTGCATTGTGTTAACTTGTCCGTCACCTGCTCGTTGCTATGGATACGTCGTTCCTCCTGCCTGGAATGTTCCGCAGTGTGACATTAAACAGATCTGCTTTACGTTTATCCAAGTACAGATTTTTATTAAAGCTGAAGATTATCTAGAAAAACAAACATTCTGACTGTAGACGGGGGTCACCTCTCCACAGATCTCACCTGTTAGTAGGTCTGGTTTGGTCTCCATGACGATAGGAAGGTTTAAAGCCATACTGTGGAACATTCCAGACAAAGCTATAACATGTCTACAGAGACAAGCATTTAGTAGTTGTAGTTTTATTCGGTCGTTTTGCAGCACCGCAAAAAAAAACACACAAAAAAAAAAACACTGACTACAACCACACCTGACTTGCCTTCCACCAGAAAAGTTACACAATGCAGCTTTAAATACCCAGAAGTAGTTTTAAAGACTGATAATGCGATATAGAAAAGTAGATTCTATTCGTATTTTCCTTCTACCACAAGAGCTGATGTGTATTCTGGCATCGGACCAGTGCTTAAAGATGCATTGTGTAACTTTTTTTGGTTGAGAATCTGCTCGTTTCCATGGATACGCCGCTCCTCCTGCCTGGAATGTCCCATAGTGTGACTTTTAAACAGAACAAATGTTGATTATAGCTGAAAAATTCCCTAGAACAACAGACGTTCTGACTGTGAGCGGGGTCGCCTCTCCACAGATCTTGCCTGTAACTCTGTCCGGCTTGGTCTCCATGACGACAGAAAGATTTAATGCCATACTGTGGAACATTCCAGCCAGGAGGAACCACGTATCAATGACATGTCCACGGAGTAAAGGATTTAGTAATAGTAGTAGTTTTATTCGGTCGTTTTGCAGAACTACGAAAACAAAACAGATCAAAACATCGACTACAACCACATTTGACGGGTTCTCCACCAGAAAAAGTTACACAATGCAGCTTTAAATACCCAGAAGTAGGTTTAAAAGTCTAATAATGCAATAATAGAAGAGTAGATTTTATTCTCGTTTCGGAATAAATACAAAACTCTTCGTATTTCCCTTCTACGGCATTGGACCAGTGCTTAAAGGTGCATTGTGTAACTTTTTTGGGTTGAGAATCTGCTCGTTTCTATGGAGACGCCGTTCTTCCTGCCTGGAATGTTCCACAGTGTGACATTAAACAGATCTGCTTTACGTTTATTCAAGTACAAACGTTGATTAGAGCTGAAAAATCCCTAGAAAAACAGACTGTAGATGGGGTCGCCTCTCCGCAGATCTCGCTTGTAACTTGGTCCGGTTTGGTCTCCATGACGACAGGAAGGTTTAAAGCCGTACTGTGAAACATTCCAGACAAAGCGATAGCGTTTTACACGGAGAAAAGTGTTTGACGGACGCTCCACGATGCACCTTTAAGCACGTTTAATTCCGTTTTCATCGTGATTCCGATCGGATATTTTCCCATTTTCCAAACTTTTCCGGTCCACACGAACTCTGGTCTGTCCGTGAGAAACTCGGACTCGCTCTGTTCGCTCCGTTGTCGTTTTTTTGCGGAAGACCTGATGGGCGCCTGCAGCTGGAGTCTGCTCAGGGCGACAAGGGGACAAACTTCTGTAGCCGGACCTTCTCGGACCTTCTGGACGTGGACTTTCGGGGGGAAAAACTGGACATACCTCGGGGACTTTGGATCAAACCCTTTAAATGAAACGGAAAGAGGAAAGACGAGGAAAAAAAAGAGGAAATTGTAGCCGAACGGACACGAGACGTCATCTGTAAAAACCTCCAGCTTTATTTTTCTACCAGAGACTATTTTAAACGTGTGTCTGTGTCTGTCCGTCCCGTAGACTGTTTATAGAAACGGACGTAGTTTAACTCGCCAAGCGCCGCCGCGGTCCCCAACACGAAACGAGCACGGACGCGCTGCCGGCTCCATCGACTCTGGCTCCAGTTCGGTTTCTATTGAAAAAGCGTCGCCCGTCAATCTGTCACATCAAACTCGTCACGATCCCGGGTTTTTGTTTCGCTGTTTCGTCTTTAAATCTCGATCTGCTCATCCTGTTTTCTCCGAAGTCGCTCCCGTCAGGTTTGATCGACAGCGTTGCTAAGCTTCAACAACCCTGTCCCTGATTGGCTCTTTGGTTGCTATGATACTTAAGCTTAGATTTCCAAAAATAAAATAACTCTTCTCCAAATTTACTCTATTCACGCTTACGTCACAAACCAAGAAGACGTTTGGAAACACGTTTGTTTATAAATGAAACCAGGACTAAACCAGGACTGAACCAGGACTAAACCAGGACTGAACCTGGACTAAACCAGGACTGAACCAGGACTGAACCAGGTTCGGGACCAGACCGGGACTGGGACCAGGACTTAGACCGGGACCAAGGACTGAGTCCAGGACCGGGACAGAGACCGGTACTGAGACCAGAATGGAGCCCAGGATTGAGACCAGGACCAGACTGGGACCAGGACCGAGACTGGGACTGAGACCTGGACTGAGACCAGGGCCGGATCAGGACTAAACCAGGTCTAAACCAGGACTGAACCAGGACTGAACCAGAACTGAACCAGAACTTAACCAGGACTGAACCAGGAGTGAACCAGGTTCAGGACCAGACCGGAACTGAGACCAGGACCGGACCAGGACTGAACCAGGTCTAAACCAGGACGAAACCAGGACTTAACAGGACTGAACCAGGAGTAAACCAGGTTTTGGACCAGACCGGGACTGAGACCACAACTTAGACCAGGACCAGACCGGTGCTGGGACCAAGACTGGGACTGAGACCGGGACCAGACCAGGACTGGGACTAAGACTGAGACTGGGACCAGACTAGGACTGAAAACGGTTTAGTCCTGGTTCAGTCCAGCATCAGAGTTTAAGTCACGTAAAAGGGAAACGGTCGTTATCGTTTTTTTTGTCCATCAAACATTTATCATTATCTGTTTTTTCATTTTGGTTTTGGAGACAAATAATGAAGAAAATAGTTGTTTTTTCGTTTCTTCTTTTTGGTTTTGACACACGGATTCGCCATCATGGGTTCAACTTCAGATTTGATTCTAGTGCTGGCCTCGATGAGCTTCGTTTGGAGCCGGACGCCGTCGTTGCCGCGGTGCCGCCGCACTCCGCCGCTCCGTCTGTGTGCACAGTCTACGGTCCGTGTGTGTCCGTGTGCTTTTTGTATCCGGTGCCTCCAGTTTCGCAGTAGCACTTTACCCTTTGGGCTCTTCGTCACAAAGGGCTTAGAACCGCCTCACCGCGACCAGAAGGTCCCAGGTTCAAACCCCCCCCCCCCCCACCCCGACCCGAACCTGGACCAGACGGGAAACGGTAAAAAAACGAACTCTCGCAATATTCGAAGAGGAAACGCCCAAAACGAACCAAAACCAACACGGAGACACAGACCAACTTTTGATGTTTGAGCAGAAATCAGGACTTTGTTTGTTTGTTTGTTTGTTTGTTTGTTTGTGGAAAGAAACGATGTCAGCTTCGCGCCGTGGTGTTAAAAATCAGCAGGAGCCAAACTACTGGAACCTTTTTGTAAAGCTGCATTGTGTAACTTTTCTGGTGGTGGAGGAGGGTCGAATTTAAAATGCTTTTCTTTACGGAGATGTTTTTTTTTTTTGTTTTTTTTTTATGTTCATTAATACGACGGAGTATATGGCTTAAATAAATTTTTTTTTAAAAAGATAAAGTCGAAGCCAGAAGAAGTTGTAATATTACGAGAATAAAGACTCGTTGGAGACTGTGAATGAGTCTGAGGCTGGTGAACATTGTGTAAACTAGGGCGACCAAACGTCCGTTTTCCCTGGACGTGTCCGTATTTTGCGTCATGTCCAGGGGCGTCCGGGTTTTTTTTTTTTATAAAGTGATGCAAATGTCCGGGTTTTCAGTATCGTTCATTAAACTGAGCGTCTCTCGTCTGTGACTCAGAAGGAGCGAGACACAAACAGTGGGTCAGTCTGAAACATACCAAACACAAATGCACATTTAACAACGACTTGGACAAGAAATTCTCCGTTTTCCGTCGCGGTCGGGACAAGTGTGAGTCCATGTGCACAGGCTGAGGTGAGAGTTCAGTGTCCCTCGTTTATCGTGGGGTTATGTTCTAAAAATAACCTGCGACAGGTGAAATCCACCAAGTATCAACTTTATATTTTACAATTATTCTGTCTGTTTTAAGTCTGTAAAACCTCAGCACAAACTTTATACACTTTTCTCCGACAGGATCGACAGGTGCAACACTTTTTACTTCCTTCTTCAAACTTGTTGCTGCTGTCGTCCTTTTGTTATTTTCCTCCTTCTTTATGTAACAAACTGAAGATTCATTTATTCTGTAATGGAGCCGACAGCACAGAGTCCTGCACCTGCCAGGACAGGACCACACCTGCCAGGACAGGACCGCCAGGACAGGACCGCACCTGCCAGGACAGGACCACACCTGCCAGGACAGGACCACACCTGCCAGGACAGGACAGGGACAGGACGCACCCGCCAGGACCTGCCAGGACAGGACCGCACCTGCCAGGACAGGACCGCACCCGCCAGGACAGGACCGCACCCGCCAGGACAGGACCGCCAGACAGGACCACCTGCCAGGACAGGACCGCACCTGCCAGGACAGGACCACACCCGCCAGGACAGGACCACACCCGCCAGGACAGGACCGCACCCGCCAGGACAGGACCACACCTGCCAGGACAGGACCGCACTTGCCAGGACAGGACCGCACCCGCCAGGACAGGACCGCACCCGCCAGGACAGGACCACACCTGCCAGGACAGGACCACACTTGCCAGGACAGGACCACACCCGCCAGGACAGGACCACACCCGCCAGGACAGGACCACACCCGCCAGGACAGGACCACACCTGCCCGTTAACCCGAGATTATATCAAACTTTTGCACTGCCCACACCACAGACTGAACCAAGACTAAACCAGGACTAAACCAGGACTAAACCAGGTCTAAACCAGGACTAAATCAGGACTAAACCAGGACTAAACCAGGACTAACCCAGGACTGAAGAGGAGGACTAAACCACGACTGAACCAGGACTAAACCAGAACTGAACCAGGTCTCACTGTGGGGTTGGTCTTGGAGGTGACGCAGGAGAAAGGAGCGGTTCAGCTCTGCACCTCACGGAGTTAAACGCGGCAGTTGCCCGATCGCGCTTTGCAGACAAACTGCTCGGCGTTTTCTCTCTTAAGTCCAAGATTAAGTCCTGGTTTAGACCTGGTTTAGTCCTGGTTTAGACCTGGTTTAGTCCTGGTTTAGTCCTGACCCACCCGTGTGTAATTACTACCCTCCTGTCATACACAATACGCATTCAAACAGAAATATGGTCGCCCTCGTGTAAAGGAGAAGAATCTGTGTATTATTCGTTCATTCGACTGAACCAGGACTGAATCAGGACTAAACCAGGTCCAGAACCAAACCAGAACTAAGACCAGGAGTGGGACCAGGACCAGACCAGGACTAAAAACGGTTTAATCCTGGTTTAGTCCTAGTTTAAGTCTTGGAAATGGGAAATTGGGTTTCCGTGACTTAAAATGCGACGCGGGACTATTGCACCGCATACGGACTGAACCAGGACTAAACCAGGACTAAACCAGGACTAAACCAGGACTAAACCAGGACTGACCAGGACTGAACCAGGACTGAACCAGGACTAAACCAGGACTGAACCAGGACTAAACCAGGACTAAACCAGGACTGAACCAGGACTAAACCAGGACTAAACCAGGACTGAACCAGGACTGAACCAGGACTAAACCAGGACTGAACCAGGACTGAACCAGGACTAAACCAGGACTGAACCAGGACTGAAGGACTGAACAGGACTAAACCAGGACTGAACCAGGACTGAACCAGGACTGAACCAGGACTGAACCAGGACTGAACCAGGACTAAACCAGGACTGAACCAGGACTGAACCAGGACTAAACCGTTTTCAGTCCTAGTCTGGTCCCGGCCTCAGTCCTAGTCCTGGTCCTGGTCCCGGTCTGGTCCCGGTCTCAGTCCTGGACCTGGTCTTGGTCAGAACTAAACTAGGACTAAACCAGGACTAAAATCAAAACTAAACTAGGACTAGGACTAAAACTAAACTAGGTCTAAACCAGGACTAAACTAAAAAACATGACAATATCAAGTAATCCAAAGTAATCAGATTACATTACTCACTTTAAGTAATTTAATGGATTATGTTACAAACTACATTTTGGTTTGTGTAATCTGTAATCTGTAGGGGATTACATTTTAAAAGTAAACTTCCCAACACTGATTATAACTTTATTCTCATAATATTACGACTTTATTTTAACTTCGACTTTATTCTCGTAAAATTTCTATTTTAATATTGAAATGTTACGACTTTATTCTTATTATTTTTTTTATCTGACCCTTTTACTCCGTCGTACGTTAAGGACGTCACAGTCGCGTTAGACGAGCCAGATCTGTTGCTTTGTGTGTTTTCGAGACCAAACCCGACCAAGTTACGGGTCAGATCTGCGGAGAGGCGACCTCGCTCGCCGCCAGGATGATAACATCTCCGTGAAGCGAAGCAAAAACGTGGATTTCTTGGTATTTTTGAGCTTTCAAAACCGCCCGTGATCGAATAAATTTAAAGTAGAGCTGTTTAAAGTCACGCTGTCTCCATGGAAACAAGCGGGCGACGGACCCTCGGACAGAAAAGTTACACAGTGCAGCTTTACAGATGCAGAAATGAATGTCCAATTTTATAAAACAGAGACAGTCCTGCCCCTGGACGCGGCGTGTGGCTCCCTCTGGTGGACACTTGTGATACTGTATATTTGACTCAGACTTCAGTGATTGTATCCCACGTGTTTGCACCTGTCAGGATGAGACGGGTGCGACAGGTGCGACGGGTGAATGTGTCTGAACGAGGTAGATCCAGGACTAAAACTGAATATTTCACGTTTCATTTGTTTTTGTGCCAGAGAGTTTAAACCAGGGCTGCACCGAGTCTGAGAACACGAGTGATGATTAAACTCTGTTATTATAATCATCTTTTTGCTTTTGTTTTTTGTTTAATATTGTTCAAAAATGTGGATTATTTCATTTTCTAAGCACATTCTGTCCAAATTAATCCCTGAATATGACGAAAACAACAAGATTTTTCAAAATAAATTCTAAACGTAACTTTCGCTCTGGTTGGGCTCCATCAGTCGCCACGTTTACATGAGAGATTGAATTCTGAATAAAAATGATTTAATTCTGAATAAAAATAATTTAATTCTGGATAAAAATAATTTAATTCTGGATAAAAATAATTTAATTCTGAAAAAAAATTTTTAATTCTGGATAAAAAATAATAATTCTGAATAAAAATAATTTAATTCTGGATATAAAAAAAAAAAAAAATCTGGATAAAAATGATTTAATTCTGAATAAAAATGATTTGATTCTGGATATTTAAAAAAAAAAAAAAATCTGGATAAAAATGATTTAATTCTGAATAAAAAAAACTGTAATTCTGGATTTTAAAAAAATTTATTCTGAAAAAAAATATTCTGGATAAAAATAATTTATTTCTGGATAAAAATAATTTATTTCTGGATTAAAATGATTTAATTCTGAATAAAAATAATTTAATTAGGAATAAAAATTAATTCTGCTTTAAAAAGTCCATGTAAACACTTAATTCCGAAGTAAGTGTTTGGTTTATTCTGATTTTAAAGCCAAATGAATTTCTTCCTGGATCATGTTTCTCGTTTCTTCTTGTTAAAATGCTGTTGGTGCTTCATGTTCGTCGTGTCGTCCTCCAGTCGTGTCTCGGGACTTTGATCCACGTCTCTCTGGGTTTGTGAGCGGATGGGGGAGGAGTGGGCTGAGGTTTTGTCTTCTTCCTCTCGTGTCCGACGCTCTTCCTCCTCCTCCTCAGAAGCTGCTGTGTGTCTCCAGAACAGTCGAGAGTCAAGGTCAGTTAAACAGAATCAATCAATGAACCTGTCCAGAGGCGACAGGTGCAAATGAACTCTGATGCACAAACATCTCACACACACACACTTTCATACCAGGCAATGTGGGTAAAGTGTCTTGCCTAAGGACACAACGACAGTTTTTGTGACTGGTCTCCCATCCAAGTCCTGCCCAGACCCGGTCCTGCTGAGCGTCTGAGATCTGACGGGATCAAACTGCTGTGGCCAAAAGGAGAAAGACGACGACGACGACGGCGACGACGACGACGACGGAAAGACAAACCCTCCACGTCTCCGTAGACTTAACGCTTTTAACACCTTATTGACACGTGGAATTATTCTTATTGATTCTACAGATGATATTGATCCTCCCACTGATTTTCCAGTCAATGAGTTTAAAGTGTTTTCAACCAATCACTGACCAAGACAAAGAGTCCAGATCAACAACACTGATGTTCTGATTCACACTTTCCTCTCAAAAAATAAACCTCACACTGAGTAAATTTAAAACGATTTCATGCACCTCAATGTATTTATCAAATTTATTTATTTTTTTTTCATTACTGTACTTATGTCTTTATTTTTTTTTTTTTTTTTATTTTTTTTTTATGTTAAAACAGATTGTTGGTTTAATAAACACAAACGAGCAAATAGTTTCCATTTTGTTCAAACACTGGAGCGAAAATGAACCTGAAAACCAACGTATGAACCAAACCCTGATTATTTAATTGTCCACAGTGTTGTGGAGTAACAGATTACATGTACCAGAGTAATCAGAGTACAAATGATGAGTAACTGTATTCAGTTACAGTTACTGTTTCAGTGAGTGGGAATTGGATTACAGTTACTTTGTACAAATAAATGGATTAAACAGAGGACTAAACCAGAACTAAAACCAGGTCTAAAACCAGGTCTAAGCCAGGACTAAAGGTTCAGACCTGGTTTAGACCTGGTTTAGTCCTGGTTTAGTCCTGGTTTAGTCCTGGTTCAGTCCTGGTTTAGTCCTGGTTCAGTCCTGGTTTAGTTCTGGTTTAGTCCTGGTTTAGTTCTGGTTCAGTCCTGGTTTAGTCCTGGTTTAGTCCTGGTTTAGTCCTGTTTAGACCTTGTTCAGTCCTGGTTTAGACCTGGTTTAGTCCTGGTTTAGTCCTGTTTAGTCCTGGTTTAGTCCTGGTTTAGACCTGGTTTAGTCCTGGTTTAGTCCTGGTTTAGACCTGGTTTAGTCCTGGTTTAGACCTGGTTTAGTCCTGGTTTAGTCCTGGTTTAGTCCTGGTTTAGTCCTGGTTTAGTCCTGGTTTAGTCCTGTTTAGACCTGGTTTAGTCTGGTTTAGTCCTGGTTTAGTTTTAGTCCTGGTTTAGTCCTGTTTAGTCCTGGTTTAGTCCTGGTTTAGTCCTGGTTTAGACCTGGTTCAGTCCTGGTTTTAGTCCTGGTTTAGTCCTGGTTTAGTCCTGGTTTAGACCTGGTTTAGTCCTGGTTTAGTCCTGGTTTAGTCCTGGTTTAGTCCTGGTTTAGTCCTGGTTTAGTCCTTTAGACCTGGTTTAGTCCTGGTTTAGTCCTGGTTTAGTCCTGGTTTAGTCCTGGTTTAGTCCTGGTTTAGTCCTGGTTTAGACCTGGTTTAGTCCTGGTTTAGTCCCTGGTTTAGTCCTGGTTTAGGGTTTAGTCCTGGTTTAGTCCTGGTTTTTTCCTGGTTTAGTCCTGGTTTAGTCCTGGTTTAGTCCTGGTTTAGTCCTGGTTTAGTCCTGGTTTAGTCCTGGTTTAGACCTGGTTTAGTCCTGGTTTAGTCCTGGTTTAGTCCTGGTTTAGTCCTGGTTTAGACCTGGTTTAGTCCTGGTTTAGTCCTGGTTTAGTCCTGGTTTAGTCCTGGTTTAGACCTGGTTTAGTCCTGGTTTAGACCTGGTTTAGTCCTGGTTTAGTCCTGGTTTAGTCCTGGTTTAGTCCTGGTTTTAGTCCTGGTTTAGTCCTGGTTTTAGTCCTGGTTTAGACCTGGTTTAGTCCTGGTTTAGTCCTGGTTTAGTCCTGGTTTTAGTCCTGGTTCAGTCCTGGTTTAGACCTGGTTCAGTCCTGGTTTAGTCCTGGTTTAGTCCTGGTTTAGTCCTGGTTTAGACCTGGTTTAGTCCTGGTTTAGTCCTGGTTTAGTCCTGGTTTAGTCCTGGTTTAGTCCTGGTTTAGTCCTGTTTAGTCCTTGGTTTAGTCCTGGTTTAGTCCTGGTTTAGTCCTGGTTTAGTCCTGGTTTAGTCCTGGTTTAGTCCTGGTTTAGTCCTGGTTAGTCCTGGTTTAGTCTGGTTTAGTCTGGTTTAGTCCTGGTTTAGTCCTGGTTTAGTCCTGGTTCAGTCCTGGTTTAGTCCTGGTTTAGTCCTGGTTTAGTCCTGTTTAGACCTGGTTTAGTCCTGGTTCAGTCCTGGTTTAGTCCTGGTTTAGTCCTGGTTTAGTCCTGGTTTAGTCCAGTTTAAGTCTTTTAAAAGGGAAACGTTTTTTATCCGTTTTTTCCATTTTTCATTTAAACACAGTTGAGTTAAAAACTGAAAAACGAATCTTTATCTGTTTTTATTCATTTTGGTTTTGGAAACAAATAATGAAGATTTTTTATTTTTTATTTATTTATTTATTTTTTAACTTTTGCTCCATAAATGTTTGTGGTTCTGGTTCACTGTTGGGATCTCGTCCGCGTCTCTGTGTTTGTTTGTTTTTATTTACTCCAAAAGACTCGGGGACGTCAGGTTTTCAAAGAGAAAAATACCAAGAAATGATTCAGAAATTCAACTTGTGTTTGTGATTTGATTTATTTGAATAGAACAAAGTCTTGTACAGTTCAGCTCACGTGCGTTTGTTTTTTATGCTGATACGAGAAAGAACATGAAATTATGCACAAAAAAGTCTGTATGGAGAATGTTCCGCAGTGTGGCATTAAACACACCAACATTTGTTCAATCACAGGTCGAAAATACAGAGAAAAACTGAAAGGTTCAATGTCGTTCAGGGAAAATCTGTGTCAATGATTCATTTGTTTTTCAAAATAAAACCAAAAATAAGAAAATGAAAAGGAACTAAACCAGGACTAAAGCAGGACTGAACCTGGACTGAGTGTCGGGACCAGACCAGGACCAGACCAGGACCAGACCAGAACTGATACTGAGAGTGAGACCTATTTTAGTCCTGATTAAGTCTTGTTTTAGTCCTGATTTAGTCCTATTTTAGTCTTGGTTTAGTTCTGGTTCAGTCCTGGTTTAATCCTGGTTTAGTCCTGGTTTAATCCTGGTTTAGTCCTGGTTTAGTCCTGGTTTAGTTCTGGTTTAGTCCTGGTTTAGACCTGGTTTAGAGTCCTGGTTTAGTTTAGTCCTGGTTTAGTCCTGGTTTAGTCCTGGTTTAGTTCCTGGTTTAGTCCTGGTTTAGTCCTGGTTTAGTTCTGGTTCCTGGTTTTAGTCCTGGTTTAGTCCTGGTTTAGTCCTGGTTTAGTCCTGGTTTAGTCCTGGTTTAGTCCTGGTTTAGTCCTGGTTTAGTTCTGGTTCTGGTTTAGTCCCTGGTTTAGTCCTGGTTTAGTTCTGGTTTAGTCCTGGTTTAGTCCTGGTTTAGTCCTGGTTTTAGTCCTGGTTTAGTCCTGGTTTAGTCCTGGTTTAGTTTCTGGTTTAGTCTGGTTTAGTCCTGGTTTACTGGTTTAGTAGTCCTGGTTTAGTCCTGGTTTAGTCCTGGTTTAGTCCTGGTTTAGTCCTGGTTTAGTCCTGGTTTAGTCCTGGTTTAGTCCTGGTTTAGTACCTGGTTTAGTCCTGGTTTAGTATCTGGTTTAGTCCTGGTTTAGTTCCTGGTTTAGTCCAGGTTTAGTCCTGGTTTAGTACCTGGTTTAGTCCTGGTTTAGTACCTGGTTTAGTCCTGGTTTAGTTCCTGGTTTAGTTCTGGTTTAGTCTGGTTTAGTCCTGGTTTAGTCCTGGTTTAGTCCTGGTTTAGTCCTGGTTTAGTCTGGTTTAGTCCTGGTTTAGTCCTGGTTTAGTTGGTTTAGTCCTGGTTAGTCCTGGTTTAGTTCTGGTTTAGTCCTCTGGTTTAGTCCTGGTTTAGTCCTGGTTTAGTCCTGGTTTAGTTCTGGTTTAGTCCTGGTTTAGTCCTGGTTTAGAGTCCTGCCTGGTTTAGTCCTGGTTTAGTCCTGGTTTAGTCCTGGTTTAGTCCTAGTTTTAGTTCTGGTTTAGTCCTGGTTTTAGTCCTGGTTTAGCCCTGGTTTAGTCCTGGTTTAGTCCTGGTTTACCTGGTTTAGTCCTGGTTTAGTCCTGGTTTAGTCCACCCAGGTCTAAAACCAGAACTAAACCAAGACTAAAAACGGGACTAAAACCTGGTCTAAACCAGGATTAAAAACAGGATTTAACCAGGACTCTGACCAAGAAAAAACTAAACGTGGGAGTTTAGGATGTTTGATAAAAAATGGAAATAACATCAATAATGTTAAAGTTGTAGTTTCGGTTTGTGGGGACGGCAGCATGTGACCCACAAATCCAACACGCACATGTCCATGTTTAACTACGACGAAATCTCTAAATCTCTAAAAAAAAAAAAATGTAGTAAGAGAAATTTTAATACACAAATCAAAATGAAAAAAGAAAGAAAACAGTGACGTTTAGATGAAGAAAACCGGGACATTTTCTCAGTTTTCCGAGATTTTTGTCCGAGTCACTGTCGCGAACAGAACCCAGAGGAAGTCGTCGTCCGCATGTTTCCCGACGTTTTCCGGGTTTTGTGACGTAAACGTGAACAGAGCTCAGATCCTCGGACGCACAGACGAGTCCTGAAGCGTCGTGTGTGAGTCTCAGCAGTATCCTCTGTCCAGGTGAACGGGGACGCCAGTGCAGACCGGAGGTTTGATCCCCTGGACACAAACAAACAAACAAACAAACACAAACAAACAAACACAAACAAACACAAACAAACACAAACAAACACAAACACAAACACAAACAAACACAAACAAACACAAACACAACACACACACAAACAACACAAACAAACAAACAAACAAAACAAACACAAACACAACAAACACAAACACAAACAAACAAACACAAACACAAACAAACACAACAAACACAACACAAACAACAAACAAACAAACAAACAAACACAAACACAAACAAACACAAACAAACACAAACAAACAAACACACAACAAACACAAACACAAACAAACACAAACACAAAACAAACACAAACACAAACAAACAAACACAAACAAACACAAACAAACAACAAACACAAACACAAACAAACACAAACAAACACAACACAAACACAAACAAACACAAACAAACACAAACAAACAAACAAACACAAACAAACACAAACAAACAAACAAACACAAACACAAACAAACACAAACACAAACACAAACAAACACAAACAAACAAACAAACAAACAAACACAAACAAACACAAACACAACAAACAAACACAAACAAACACAAACAAACAAACACACAAACAAACACAAACAAACACAAACAAACACAAACACATTACAGGTGTCCAGTGTTGGGAAGGCGACTTTTAAAATGTAATCCCCTACAGATTACAGATTACATACCCCAAAATGTAGTTTGTAACGTAATCCATTAAATTATTTAAAGGTTGTATAGAGGATTTTCCAAGGAACAGAAATCCAGCGACTGTTTGTCCTTTTTCAAATGTTGCTCCTGCGTGAAACCACCTCCCCTCCCCCACAGCTCCTACGTAGAAACACCTCCTCCCTCCTCCTCCTTACGCCACAAACAGGTTTGTTTACAGCTGCACATGACTTGTAAACAACTCACTACAGTGTTGGTTAGACAAGACGGAGAAGTGAGGAGCAGGGAGAAGAGTGGATCGGGCAGCGGGGAGAGGAGCAGGAAAGGGGAGCAGAGAAGAGTGCGCGGAGATTCAGGACCAGACCGGAGGTTCAGAGCCCACAGCAGGACCGGAGCTCGAAGCTGAGGCTTGGACCCCGCGGAGGCTCAGAGTCAAAGCTTGGAGTCCACCCCAGTCCTGCTCTAGTCCTGCTCTGGTCCCGGTCTGGTCCCGCTCTGGTCTCGGATCTGGATCAGTCCTGGTTCAGTCCGTACGCGGTGCAAAAGTTCGGCATCACAGTCACTGAAGTCACGTAAACGGGAAACGGCCGTTATCCGTTTGTTCCATTCTTCATTTAAACACAAAATCGAAAACTGAAAAACCGAATCGTTATCCGTTTTTTCATTTTGGTTTTGGAGACAAATAACGAAGAAAACTGTTGTTTTTTCGTTTTCTTATTTTTGGTTTTATATTGAAAAACGAATGAACGAATGATACACGGATTAAAATTCACGGAAAAGTTTAGAAATTTTGTCAGTGAACAAGAGCAAATCACAAATACTGCAATTATTTAATTTAAGTTTTAATTTCTTCTACAAAACATTACATCTAATCTTGCCTAAAGGTGCCGACCTAGTGTCCTAGACCTTTAGAAATGTTTTAAAAAAGGAAGATTTGATTTTAAATTCTATAAACGTGACCTTTCTGTGTCTCCGGAAACCCGGCCGAGACTCTGCACCGAGTTATTATTATTTGTCAAATATGGAGCAAAACTTCAGATACTGGATTTTTAAAGCGTAGAAGATTGGAAGTAGAGTCACTGTCATTAATCTGCAGCTTCAGCTCGATCCACTAAACAAACACATGTGAGGAACTACTCCGGCCTTTTTACTTTTAAAGAATGTAAAAAACTGGATTCACAGTGCGGTTTCGTGGACTGGAGTCATTATTTGCGGAGGATAAATTCTCTGGATAATGTGGATGAGATGCTGCAGTTTAAATTTAACACTTTTCGAGAGGCGAGGAAGAAAGTCTTATCATATCACGTGTATATGAAAAGTGTAGAAAAGTCTGGAGTAATAATCTCTGTGACAAGTTTGTGAAAGTCAAAACGCAGGTAACCGAAGTATGAAATGTCAGAGCCCAGAATGATCATTGTTCTTATCACCTCAAGAACAAGAACAAGGTTTTTCTTCTGAAGTATGAAAAGGCCTCGGGACAAATGCAGGTGGAGGATGTGGAGACTCGGGGTCAGAGGTGAAGGTTAAATACGTCTGAAGTTGAGGAGGTGAATGTGTCGGTGCAGAGGAGGATTTACCTTGTAAAGTTCACAGACCAGAGTGAAGAGAGACGACATGGATCTGTCCTGAAGCTCCTCAGTGTAAACCTGCACACACACACACACACACACACACATACACACACACACATACACACACACACACACACACACACACACACACACACACACACACACACACACACACACACACACACACACACACACACACACACACACACATACACACACACACACACACATACACACACACACACACACACACACACACACACACATACACACACACACACACACACAATACACACACACACATACACACACACACATACACACACACACACACAATACACACACACACACACACACACACACACACACACACACACACACACACACACACACACATACACACACACACAATACACACACACACACACACACACACACACACACACACACACACATACACACACACACACACACACAACACACATACACACACACACACACAATACACACACACATACACACACACACACATACACAC